AGTTAAGCCTTGAATAATACAGTCTTGAAACTGAGTAGGGTCAAACCTCTCTTTTTCATCTGAGTGGGAAAAACCCAAAACATCTACTTTTAGAAGTCTAAGGAACCATCACTGTATGATGCTGTAACTACTGAATAAGTTAACAAAATTTGTCACAATTTCGTTTATTTCAATGGCTGGAAAAAAACACACATAAGCTAGATTACCCAAGACCTGCAACAAGCAAACACTACAGGAGAGACAGGAGACTAAACATATAGCCTTCACAAGTTTGCCCTCTGCAAGTGCAGGGCAGTACACCCTAGTCACAAGAACTGTGCAGCTTTTCTTCTACTACTTTTTCAAACAAATCTCAGAAGTGAGATAATGGGCTATTGTCTCACGTTCCCACTGCCATAAGATAATTTCTACCTGGAAAGCTCTCCTATTGCCTCCTGGCTTTTTCAAAATTTAGGCAATCCTCTAAAACTTAGGTATATTTTATTTCTCTGAGATTGTGCCCTAACACTGGAGTGCTCTGTTCTTTTCTTTAAATGCCCATAACATTTTGTTTTTTAATTTAACCACTCATTTGGTATTTATTAAAATAATCTTTAGAATGCACAGTTGGCCCTTGAACAAGATGGGTTTGAACTGCATGGGTCCATTTACACTTGAATTTTTTTTTCCCAGCAAATAGTGTACAGCACTGTAAATATATTTTCTCTTCCATATGATTTTCTCAGTAACACTTTCTTTTCTCTAGCTTACTTTAAGAATATAGTACATAATACACAAAATATGTGTTAATAAACTTTTTATGTCATTGATAAGGCTTCCTGTCAACAGTAGGTTATTAGTAGTTAAGTTTTGGGGGAGTCAAATATTATGTGTGGATTTTCAACTTTGTGGGGGTTGGGGTGTATGGGAGGCATGTTGGTGCCCCTAACTCCAGCATTGTTCAAGGTTCAACTGTACATTTGTTGAGCACTCAATATATATATATATATATATAATTGAAACTGTACTAGGTGTTTTGCTTTAACAACTATGTGAGGTAGACCTTTTTGTTCCCATTATTCAGAAGGGAAACAGAGAGTCAGAGAAATTAGGTAATCAAGAGACTATATTGTGTAGTAGTAGTTCAGAGCATGGGCTCTGGAGTTTTAAAAAACTGCCTGATTCAAATCCTGACCACCATAACTGTCTGAATTTGAGCAACTAGCCTCATTCTCTATGCCTGAATTCCTACTGTAAAATGGGGACAAGAATAGTACCTATCTCATAAAGTTGTTGCAAATACTAAATATAAATAAAATAGCACTCAGAACAGTGCTTTGAGCACATACCTAGCCTTTAACTGAGTTGCTTTCATATACTCCACAGTAGGGTTTTGATTTTCCCATCTAGGTTAGATGATATTTTAATTTTTACACAGCAACAGGGTGACAAACTTCTCTATTTGCCCAGGACTTTCCTGGTTTTAGCACCGAAAGTCCTACATGCCAGGAACTCCCTCAGTTCAGGCAAATGGGGATAGTTGTTCACCCTTCCCAGGATCCTAATCATCAAGAGCCAGGAGGCCGTGAATGAACCTTAACCTCTCCCTGCTGCTAATTAACAACAATTAATAAAATGACTTGCTGCTATTATTCATATAAAGGTCATAACGGTAATCCACATAGTCAGACTTTCCCCCATTACTACTGAATTGCTCTAATTTGCAATTTCTGTTCCTTAAGAAACTGTACTAGCTAAATCAAAATGAATCTGCAAAGATTATAATCAAATCACAATCAAATCACACTTTGGTCTCCTCACCAACCACTACAAGGGAACAGACTATGATTAGAGATTATAAAAGATTTTACAACATATATCTTAATGTATCTGCTACTCGGGATACGCCCCCCCCCCCCCC